GCCTTGAGGGCCATCTCCCTCCAAAGTTCTTCCGCCGGGCGGCTCAAAGGCAGGGACCCCGGCATCTTCAAGCAGGGGGCCAGTGGAGCCTGCCTCGCGGCCCCGCTTCTGTTTCTTCTCAGGGACCTTCTCTGTCCCCTTCTGAGGAGCCGTCTTCGTGGGGACGACCGGCGGCGGAAGGGCGGCTTCGAGAGCAGGGGCCCCGGAACCCTGGGCCAGCATGGTGGCGATTAAATGTTGCTCACCCTCGGCGGTTCGCCTGGCAGCATCAGAGGCCGAGGAGTTGGACTCCGAGGCGGGGGCGTTTTTGGCTTTCGCCATCGCAACTTTAGCCGCGGCCGCCTTGGCTTTCCTGGTCTTCAGACACTCGGCGTGATTCATTTGGTCTCTATCGGGCGGTGGACCTGCAAGAAACAACAAGGATTAGAAGCCGAGCGGGAAGTAGAATAAGACACTCACCTCGAAGGACAGGACCGCCCGGGCCCCGAGACGAGCGTCGAAGGGTAGAAAAAGTCCAGGAACACGGGCGGTACCTATGCCTGCCCCAGAGAGTGCCTCGAAGGTCAGAAATCCGGCTATGGGACGGACGCCACCCTCCAACACCTTCTCCGCATCCAAAAGCAGATCGTCGGTCGGCTCCGGTGACTCAATCTTTGGGGGATACCCATTCCACCGAAGAGGGAGAGGAGGCCCGTCGTATCGAAGGAAGAAGAAGCGGTTCTTCCAGTCGTGGATGGACGAGGGGTAGTTCTTGAACAGCCGCCTCCCAGGACGTGCGGCCACGCTCAGATACCCGTCGGCATTCTGAGGAGTGACGCGGTAGAAATAATGGAAGAGCTCCAAAGTGGCATCGACCCCCGCAAGTTTGCAGCGCACCAAGAAGGCCGATATGAATCTGTAAGAATTTGGCATGAATTGCGCCGGAGCCACCTGGAAGCAGTGGAAGAACGCCACATAAAACGTATGAAGCGGAAACCGCAGCCCGGCTTCAACGGAATCCAGGTGGAGCATGATCATCCCCGGACGTCTCCTCATCACATGCTCAGCGCCTCTCACACTCCAGACGAACGGCGGGGGAAGGAAGGTGCGGATTTTATTGAGGGCCACACGGGAGAGGACTTGGTCGTGGTCAAGGGCGCTCCTAATCGGGCAGATGTGACGCTCCATATCCGTGGGGATGCCCAGGTCATACACCTCCATATCAGAACCGGATTCGGCTTCCTCTCCAGAATCATAATCAGCAGGACGCTCATTCAGGGGGACCGCATCAATAACGTCCACTGCCTCATCGGCATCCCCACCCCTGGCGTCGCTCCCACTATCTTGGGACACATCATCCGGCTCGCCATCAGCCCGGATGGTCCCCACCGTCGTGGCCGAACCAGAGGTTCCGGAAACACTAGTTTTTCCCAGGGAGCGTGCATTAGCGTTTTCAGAAGAGGAGCCCGAGGAGGAACCCGACGAACCGGAATCAGAACTTGAGGAAATCTCCATCGAAGTCATTCCGGCTAGAAATCAGAGTAAAGGAAAGAAACAGAGGGGGGAAATTACCTTACAAAGGTATGGTTGGCCGAATTCAGGAAAACTTGAAGAGCTGCGGAAAATCGAGAGCAAGAGGGCAGAAATTGGGAACCCTAATTCAGAGGGCAAACCCAGCATTTATAGGGGAAACACCGATGGAGAAACCAACGAAGGGCTGACACGTGGCAAGGAGCGTATTCCGGCCCACGCGCTGTGCGTGGGATGGGAACGTAATGATGACACTTCCTCGGGAAAATGCGCCGCCGAAACATCAGCCGTCACCTCGTTTCCTGAACCGTCAACAGCTGTCAAGCACCATGGCCACGAGCGTACGTTTCCACCAAGATGCAATGAACACAAGTACCAAGATACGGACGTCTACTTCGGGGAGGTTCATACTTCCTTATGTCCTGCGCATGCTCAGAACATCAGAAGTGGGGGACTTGTGTTGGGTTAAGGGCCCAAGCCGAGGTCCGGCCCACTAACCCATTTTGCTAGACGAGCGTCCAGCTAGAAACTAGGCCAGCCCACAGGCCCATGTTCTTTAAGGATGGACGAGCGTCTGATGTTGGAGGACTCAGGCCCAGCAGCTCATTCCGACGAACGTCTATGCAGGGACAAGGAGCAGAGCCACGGGCCACCAGGGATGGCGACGAACGTCCCCAGAGCAAGCCTGTAGTCATCGGAGAAAACCCAATGCACATGGTGAGTATCTATCAAGGCCAGGAGACGAACGGCCAATATCCCTCAAGGGTCACTTGGAGCAATCCAACTCACTTCCCGGGTGGACGAACGTCCCCACTGATCCGGCGGGAAACCTAGATTCTGGCGGGAAGTGCATTTAATGCTAAAGATTTGGTAGTTGGGACACCAGCGGTCCACAGGCTGCCACGTCAGTGCAGCTACCTGCCCATTGGCGGGTATAAATAGAAGCATTTATTTCATTGTAAAGGGTTGGCAACTTACTATTCTTAGCATACTAGCTCCAGCATTCTTACTTGCAGCCTTTCTAAGTGCCTTGTAAGACGAACGGCCGACGTGCCCTTTTAGCAAGTAGATTGTATTTAGGGGAGTTATTACGAAGTTAATAATACCTATTTACATTGCCTGCTATTACTTTTGTCTCCTGATCCATCTGATAGTTGTTGGGCTAGACATTCATACACTCACTCCACTCGAAACCTTTGGGCTTACGTGTTGGGTCCACGGGTTGAAGGAATAAACCTCAACACTTCTTTTTGTTTATCCACAAATAATCATTTTTCGTTTTTGTAAAGATAATTTTATGTGATCATGAGTATCCATTTATTTTTTCGGAATCACAGTCATGTCCTTTTACTAAATTGAAAACAAATTGCCCGTCAAAAGAAAAACACTTAATGTGTAAGTCGACGGGTACAAGTAACATTTTTCTTGTGGATATCCTCACACACTTTTCATCCGGTTTGATCAATCTTTATTTTGCTGGAAAGGATCAATTGAGTACATCAATTTGTATGAGTTCGAGTAAATACACAAATTCAGTTTTTTGTGTTACGGTTGAGTTGACTAACAAAATGCTAATAGAACGACTTTTTAAAGGTCGACGCATGCCCTCAACCCTTCTTTGACACCAACTCCCCGCAAGTCAACTTCCCTTGATCAATGCACCCAAGCCGTTCGATGCCCCCCGCAGGCAGTGGAGGACCTAGGGGGGGGGGGGGGGGCTAGGGGGGCATGTGCCCCCGCTTCGAGCCCGGAATTTCACTAGTAGTACTTAGGATAAAAACGAGTGCTCCGGCTTCATACCAGTATTTGATAATTAAGATACTAAAATGTTACAGTTATATAAATAAAAAATTAAAGGGGTGTTTGGATGTGATTCTTAAAACTGCTTCTGCTCCTTTAGGGAGCAGAAGCAGAAGCTGCAGTGTTTGGGTGAAAGTGTTGAAGTGATTCTGGTGCTCTAATTTATTCCTAGAATCAGTTTTTTGAGAAGCTGGGGGAGACCAGCTTCTGAAAATTGATCCTGATTTTGTTTCGGCTTTAAAAAAAGAAGCAGAAGCAGAAATAGTTCCAAACACCCCCTAATATTCCCTCCGTCTCTAATAGATGAGAGTATAACTTTTGGCACAAGTTTTAAGAGAGAATTAATAGGGATAAGATAACAGGTTTAGGATGTCTTCTTTTGGATTGAAATTTGCTGGTCTGGTCTGATCTGAACTGGTTTGGTAAACGTCTAGTCTTTGTGTAATTTATAACTACGAAAGTCAAGTCTGGTCTAGTCTAGTCTGATCTGGTTTGGTCTGGTCTAGTTTGCTTGGCCTGGACTGAAAACAGTCCAAAACAAAACATCCTTAGTGGGTTGTGTAAAGGAAAAAGTAGGAAAGAGAATGAAAAAGTAGGAAAGCGAATGAGGGTATATAGGTATATTTATTAAAAAAAAAATATAAAAATGGAAAGAGAGACATGTATTAGAGAACATCCTAAAATGGAAAGAGGGACATGTATTAGAGAACGGAGGGAGTACAAAATCTTTAAATTTTAGCCAATGTGCGGGCAACTAAAAGTACGGAGTATTAAAAGTCTAAAAACCCGCTACATTTGGAAGACTAGAATGATAAAAACACAAGTTCTCCAAAAACAAAACCTTACGCGGACGGTTTACGAAATGAGAACAAATGAGTTATTTTCTGCCGTACAAACTATTGGTGAAGTTTGTAAGAATATGGTTGAGCTTAAAGTTCACAATTCTTTTCACTTGGTATATCGTCTGATTGAGTTGGCTTTAGTGCTACCAGTTGCAATGGTCACCGTTGAAAGAGCCATCTATGCGATGAATATTATCAAGACAGATCTTCGCAATAAGATGGGAGATGACTATCTTACGGATTGCTTGGTGTGCTACATTGAGAGAGATGTTTTTAGAAGCATCGATAATGAAACTATTATGCAACATTTTCAGGATATGAAAACTCATAGGCGCGATTTACCGAAGTTGCAGCAGTGAACTATTTAATATGTAATTATATAATTTAATACATTTTTTACCATTTTTATTACATTTGGAGTTTTTATTATAGACTAACTTTGGAGTCTAGTGTGTCCCGCTCTCACAAATCTCTGGGTCCGCCACTGCCCGCAGGTCGACCTTTAGAATTCGACGTCAAAAGCTTGGTTGACTTTTCCTTTTAGGTCGACTTCCTAAAGGGCAATGCCACAACCTGACTTTGTCTTGATCGACTTCCCCTTCTTACTCAGCATTATGTTTGCTGACTCAACCATATTAACGTGTTAATGTAACAAGTGTACTCAATTAGTACTAAAAATTCAAGTTCATGTACTTAATAATGTCATATTAACACAATGTACTCTTTAGTCTTTACTCCATCTCGTACAAATTGATGTTCTTAATGGACCCTTTACTTTTTGATTATGCATGTGATAGAGGGAGGGGAAAGCTTAAAAAATAAGGCCGTGAAGGTAGAAAAATCGAACGAAAACCACGTACGTCTCCCAAAACAGCTGCTAACTCAAAAACCAAACAGAAAAGATTGACTCCCAAATCCGCGAGTAAGCTTATCTTGGAAGCTAGACTTGATGTTAAGAATTGGATTACCCTCCCTAAATTGCCTCCTCTCCGCGACGGAATCGCCGTTATGGCGGTCCTTTCTCAGTCCTCGTCTCACAACCTCCGCAATCCGAGCATTTTCCACTGCCTTGTCTCCGCCGTCCAAGGCCATTGTCTACGATCAGCATGGCCCTCCGGATTCTGTCACCAGGTCTCACTCTCATTTCTTTAATGTTCAATTAGTCCCAAATGTGATGAAAATTTCAGCTTCTTCCTCAATTTGCCATTATACAGGAGACAGGGAGAGGTGGAGGGGCCTCGCCCCCAGGTTTTTATGTACATATATATATGTGTGTGTAAATGTTTAGAATCTCTAAAAATGAAATTTTGAAAGCCCTTCGCCCCCCTAACAACACACCTTTGGCTCGGCCATTGCAGGAGAGTAATACAGAGCATATCTTTTGCTGTTTAAGCATATATTAAGATTATAATTTTCTGTACCCTGATGATAATATTTGCATTGCAGAGTGACTGAGCTTCCTCCAGTTGAAATCAAAGACAACGATGTATGCGTTAGAATGCTTGCTGCTCCCATTAATCCCTCTGATATTAACAGAATAGAAGGTTTTAATCGTTTCTTGCTCTTTCTTTCTTCATCTTGAATTTTTTATATGGAGTATAATATATCCTGTATTTAGTAACGTTATTGTATGAACATACTTTCCATAAGTTGTTAAAACCATTGCGTTTGAAGTCTTTGACAATATTCATTTGAGTCTTTGACAGTATTCATTTGACTCATTTTAAAGTAGACTCATAGACTGACTTCCCAGAGTAGAGTTTCCTTAACTTTGCACCAAATTTCTTGTTTTTTGAAGTTGTTTGTTTTGTACGTAGTATTAGAATTATGTGCTAGTTTTGCCTCCTGTTGCAATGACCAAGGCACAAGTTCCGAAATTTCAATATTTATGCTGGGGTCTTGTACTTTAGAACTGTGTGAAGTAACTTATGATAACGGATGGTAACCTAGACAATTTTTCTGTTGGAAACTAGATATTTTTTCTTCTTTTTGCTGACAGTTTTGACAATGTATTTGCACTTTTTCCTGAAACCGGTTTGGCTATTCATATTCTTTCTTAACACTCTTGTTACAAGTATTATGCTGAAATCCTGTTATAAAAAGTAACAATGAATGATTAAACTATTTTTCGTAGGAGTGTATCCCGTGAGGCCACCACTACCAGCGGTGGGAGGATATGAAGGAGTTGGAGAGGTTCATGCCATAGGTGCTGGAGTGAAGTCTCTTTCACCAGGAGATTGGGTTATTGCTTTTCCACCAACTTCAGGCATGAAGATTTTTAATTTATGATCTTAGAAGTTTGAAACACAGACTTTTAGTTTTATTTACTTCTTTCTCTATCAATATTGCTCTTTCATTGGACAATTAGATTTGTTTTCTTAAAAACCATGAAGTCTGGCTTTTGCATATATTTTATTGTTTTTATTCTGTTAGCTTCTGTATTCTGCTAGCTCAGTATCCACCACCACCACCTTAATGTCAACAATGTAGGGTTGGTGGTGTGAAATTTAGCGTCATTTAATTTTTCTAAAATTAGTCAAAACTGTAAATTTATGCAAAAAAGTATAGTTGCCAAGTTTTATGCTGCTCGTTATATACTTCCCATCTGTCACATGCATGGAAAACATCTATTTTTTTTTCTTTTAGTATAGGCACATGGCAGACATATGTTGTAAAAGAACAAAGTCTCTGGCATAAAGTTGACAAAGGCACACCAATGGAATATGCTGCCACTGTTATTGTTAATCCAATGACTGCCCTGAGAATGCTCGAGGACTTTGCTGCATTAAAATCAGGTATTGCCATTTTTAACAAGTTACCGCTGCTTTTTTTAATATGCATCTTTTGATTTATGAGCACATATAGGCGATTCTATTGTGCAAAATGGTGCCACAAGCATCGTGGGACAATGTGTTATTCAACTTGCTCGAGTCCGAGGCATTCACAGTCTTAACATCATTAGAGACAGGTATTTACTTGAATCAACCCCCATTTTCAACTTCATTGATTCCAAACGCTTGAGGAATGCCTTCTTTTTCACACAATTTGTCTTTGATTCAAAAGAGGGGAGGGGGAGGAAAGTGAAGGTGCTCCAAAACAAAGGAAAAGGAGAAGAATCTGTATTGTGAAAAAATTGAAAAAAATGTTTATAAAGTTATGTTGCAATAAAATATATTAACCTCGCATGGTAAAAAATAAACTGTAGATCAGTTCCTTTTTTTTATATATATAATCAGTTCCCTTTAAAACAGTGGAAAAAGTAAAGAAAAATTAACTCCTCCAGAATCCTCTGAATGGGGGGTTAGACACTTAGACATGAGGAGTTTGGAGGTTTATAAACCCATTCTACCTGCCCCCCAATTTCTGCAACCACACAATGTGTTCACTTTCACCTCCCTTCCGAAATGCTTTACCTCAACAAAGCTAATGATTATTATGAACAGGACTGGATCAGATGAAGCGAGAGAAAAACTCATACAACTTGGTGCTGATGAAGTATTTACTGAGAGCCAGCTTGATATGAAAAAGATCAAGACTCTTCTGGTATGCGGCAACTTCACTAACTTACTTGATTAGCGAGGTGTTTTCTCCGTCTCATTCTGTGTTTTCTTTTATATAATTTTATTTTCTAATTGTTTCTTTAACCTCACTCAATAATTTACTTTTTATATCCCATTTATCTCCTGTCTGATACAGGGCAGTATACCTGAACCTGCATTGGGGCTCAACTGTGTTGGTGGAAATGCTGCTTCACTGGTCCTTAAATTCTTGAGGTGAACAATAGGCCAGATTTGATCAGTGTTTTTTCCCAGATATCAAAGGCTAAGATGTTTGTTTCAGGCAGGGTGGAACTATGGTTACATATGGGGGCATGTCAAAGAAACCAATAACTGTACCGACAAGTTTATTTATATTTAAGGTATAATTCTGATTTTGTGATTTATATGACATCATTTATAAACTGATACTGCTTGCTATGACGAAGCAGTTGCCTCGTTGGTGCTTTGTGCTTGGTAAGATTTGTCAACATTCTATTACGATAATTTATATCAACTTGATGAGATGATTCTTGGAGTTCATTTTGTGCTTAAAACGCTGAAGTGAAAAAATTGCTTGATAAGCCAAAAATTGATCCCACAAAATGGGGTTGGAAGTTGGCTTAGTGTTTCATCTGCATGGGCATATTAATGTGAACAAATGAGTTTAGTGAGTTTTGATTTCCGAAAGGTGAGCCAATAAATTTGAGGTTAATGTTTGTCCAAATGGTGACAGAATTCATTTAGCTCTAATCTCCTATGTAAGAACCACATTATCCCCTATAAGTTGATCATGTTCAAACTTGAAATATCTAAATCTAGTTTCTTAATCTGCAAAACCTGGTAGTGTAGTTTGAAAGGAAAAGAATTTGAATGCTACATATTGGGCTATTAAACTACGTACTGATGGGATAGTTTGAATTTTATCTCTAAGAACTCTGCTCATAATTGGGGAAAAGTTGGTTTTGATTTTTGTAATACTCCCTATTATTAATGTCATGTTTGCAGGAGCTTTCATTGAGAGGGTTTTGGCTCCAAAAGTGGTTAAGTCCAGATAAAGCTGAAGAGTGTCATGGCATGATTGATTATCTTTTAGTCCTAGCCCGTGAGAGCAAACTGACCTATGAGTATGAGTTCTCAATCCCCTATAACTATCTCCCACACGGTCACACCCTCATCTCATTCTACTAAAGCAATTTCCTTTTCTCGAAATGCTTCTTACATTACTGATGGCAAAATTCTGGAGGCTGATGAAAGATATTTGTTTTTTTGGCATCATACATCCATTGCCAATTTTCCATTTTTTTCTTTCTCACAGAATATTATTGAGGACACTCCAGATTTAAGCATATTATTACTATTTTTACTGTTATTATTAATATTATTAATTTATTATTATTAGTTAATGAGATGACAAAATTATCATGCAGCACGGAGGTTGTACAGTTCGATGATTTTCATACAGCTTTGGATAAGGCACTTGGAAAACGGGGAAGCCAACCTAAACAAGTTATTAAGTTCTAATCTTAAATTTTGGAGGTAAAGGCCATTCAAGCAAATGCTAATCTAATCTTTTAATCTATAGTTTCAATATTTGACCATATCCGGCCTAGATGTGAATATTGTGTCAGAAAATGAAAAAAGAATCCTATGCAATTCTGTGGATTAAGATGGACTGGTAGTTAAACAAGGCATGATGTATTACTATTTACTACTTTAGTCCCATTTGGTTAGGTACATTCTTTTTTTGTCGACCCCAAATTATCATCACTTTATAACTTGAATTCCACCAACTTTAATTTCCAACTTTATATTTTTATCTAGCATTGCATTTTTTACTTTTTGTGAACTCATGTTATTCTTCTTGCATTTTGAAGGTCAATAAAATTCCCTTAAGGGTGGTCAGAAGTCAGAAATACACCGTATTTAGAGGCATTTTGGGACACTATTTGAGTTGGACCATTTATAGTGTGCATGGGGTAAAAATGAGCTTAGGTTATACTAAAAGATTCTAGTAATGTGATATGCGTGTTTATATAGTAAGGTGAATTAGCTTATCTTAGGTTAAAAGCCTATAATTGATGCATGAGAAATAAATTGTCATAATTTTTTTTTTTTTTTTTGAAAAAAAACTAACTTTCCCATCAAATTAAGAATGTATCCGGGACATTGATTTCGACTCCGATTTTATTCGCCCTCTTGAATGAGGGTGATGTTCACCCCTGCCACATGGCATGTCAGTTTTTTCCCAGATTGCTACGACTTTTTAATTTGTGTTCTAATTTCTATAAAAAAATATACTACGTATCAAATTAAATAATATTTTATGATCTTTCATATGTTACCAATATTACATATATATAAGTTTGACTTTTTTCTAATCTATCTGTTTAGCTGGATTATTTTTTTAAATTTTACATATGCAATATCGGTATCATAAAAAATTATACTCAGTATAAATTTTGATATATTATTTTTTTTTTGTAAAAATTGGACCATAAATGAAAAGTTGTACAATTGCAAAAAAAAAACAAAGAATTGCCGTGCAATGCAGGGAGGGTGAGCATCGCCCTTTTTGCTCTTGAACAAAATTGTTTTGATTGATTTCAATGTAGTGATCAATCTAATGCAACAAAGGGATACAGGCATCTTGGTCAAATTATGCAGGTGGTTAGTTTTGGAGAGATCTTGTCAGTGATCGCCCCAAAATTCAATATTTCAATATGGTTAAAGTTTCTGCATTTCTCCATTCTAATTGTCGTCAATTAATACATGACTCACTTCATTAGTCATTACTGTAATAAGAATATACTGAGTATTTAGTTTTTATTAATCCGTATGAATCATGGTAAACAATTTTGAGTAGATGTTTCGTTTAGATTTTGCACTTATTTATGAATCACGTTCTAGGAGATTTTCCTAAAACACGCGCAAATGTAATTGTCTGTACAAACTAAGTGTCTGTGCACAGATAATTCGAGGTCACATACACTTCTGTTCACTAAAATTAAAATCAATTGTTTGGGTAGGGATGGACCGGTTCCGGGCCGGATTGGGCTTTAGTCCGGTCCAAACCGGGTTTTTTGGGGAGCCGGAACCGGCCCAGGATTCCACATTTCCACCCCCCTCCTCACCCCCCAAAACACCCAGCCCAACCCGGGGAAAAACAAAAAAATTGAAAAAACGAAAAAAAAAAGACCGAACCGGGCGCGGCCGGGCCGGTTCCTATTTTCCATGACCCTAGCCCGCCCTTAGTAACACCCTGTTCGGGCCTAACCGGACCGGTCCATGGCCCGGTTGTCGGGTCGGGCTGGTTCCAAATAATGCCAGGCCAGGCCGGTTCCAAATAATGCCGGGCCGGTCGGCCCGGAACCGGTCCATCCCTACATTTGGCGTGTAAACTGGCGTTTAGACTAGGGGTGGATTTGGGTCGGGCCACCCGGCCCGGTTCTCAGGTCCGGGTCCGGGTCCGGGTCAGGCCTAGGCCCGGGGGGAGGTCCGGGCTTGGGTCTCACATTTGGCGAACCGGCCCGGCCGGGTCGGGCTCGGGCTCGGGTTCGGGCCAAATGGTTTTTTTTTTTTTTTTTTTTTTTTTTTTTTTTTTTCATTTTTTGGGGTTCCACGGGGGTTGAGCTTGATGGTAGGAGGGGTTTGGGGGGGGGTAAGGGGAGGGGGGTAGGAAAGCAAAAAAAAAAATACCCAAACCGGAGGCCCGGTCCGGACCTGGGCCCACCAATCCTGAACCCGAGTCCACGCCTGGTTTAGAACAGCGTGTACAAACTACAAATAGCATTTTTCCTAAAGTTTACTAAGAAAAGTGCAGAAGCTGACAAATCTGTGAATGCCATTTCACTACTCTTGGCTTCCTATTGCACTATATTTTTCTCTACTCATATTTCTTTCTTTTTGGGTGAAAGTTAAAAACTACTCCGTGCAGTTTGAAGCACAAGAGCAAGCTCTCGACCCACATAACACTATAACAGGCCTCATGCAGTCATGCTACTGATAAAATCACCAAAGCTAAATATTTCAACCAAAACAAAAATTCTATAAGCCCCCTCCTTAATTTGTTTTATCATATCATCAGCATTTAAGTTAATGCCTCCAAACTCCAAAGACCCCCCAAGTCCTTTTCCTTCCAAATGGTTATACTGTGCAGCCCAAAGCAATCATAACCACTTTGCTCTCAGCCTTGTACCTCTAAAGTCTCCTGAAAATTTCAACGTCACCGTGGAGAGTAGATCTCATTTTTGTTACTCCCAACCACCTGCAATTTTGCAAATACTCCTCCAGTCTCCAGATATAGCTTATGCAATCTTTTTTAAACTTTACGCCTTAACAGTGGCCAACTTTGTTGATCCTTACCTTTATCGGTGTTACCGTACGTGTTATTTGTTGCACTACATTTTAATAATGATGCTGAAGTTTATGGTTCTCATGTATTGTTTTTACCATGTATTCTTTGTATTGCAGATATGTATAGTTTTTGTCCCGATCATGGGATTGAAAAGTAGAGCAAATGTGTAAAGTGGGATGCCTATTTGTGATTTAAGAGGAAAAAGAATTTTCATCATTGTTTGAATTAGGGGTGGGTCGGAGAAACCGAAAATAGAATCGGAAAAATCCGAACCGCAACCAAAACAACTGAACCGCAAGAAAACCGAAACCGATCTCAAATAACCGAACTGAACCGTAGTTGTTTGGTTTCGGTTTCGGTTTTCACATCTCAAAATCGAACCGAACCAAAAAAACGAACTTTTTAAAAGTTGTTATTTTATTTATTAATCATTAAGTATAATATTTTGTTTAGTTCTTAATTCTTAATTCTAGAAAATTAATGTTTGATACTAGATTTATCATGATTTGCAAGATATTGACATTTAATATTTATTGTTTAATTTAGTGAAACACTAGTACATAAACTTAAGTCTATTACTATAATACTACTATGTTAATATTTTAAATCGTAATTTACATTTTGCTTGTTGCATGACAATGATACTTTGTTGATATATTACATGTTATGTATGTTTGTTATAACATAATTTTTTGTATTGAACAAATATGTATTAATATAAATTTTACTTTAAACAACGAAAATGTGAAACCTTAGAGCATAAATATATTTGATTAAAAAAATAATATAAGTTATTTACTAATAAAATTTTAACTTGTAAATACTCTTTATATAATTCACAAATAAACTTAAGCGTTTAATTAATTTAGAAAATGTTTAAACTGGGATACACATACTCTGTAATTCATTGCTTGGAAGTGCATTTGTTTCTTCTCTCTTTTTTAATTATGTATGTTTTGGTATTGCATTACTGTAAATAATAGTTTGGTGTAGTTTTTTTTCAATTACTATTTTTCTATTCAACAAAAATACTTTGGTAAAAACCGCAAAAAACGAAACCAAACCGAAATAAATCGAATTCAACAAACCGTGGTTTCAAATTTTTGAACATAAAACCGAACCGAACTGAACTTTTTACTTTGGTTCGGCATTTGGTTTTAGGTGAAAACTGAACTGTTTGAACCGAACCCACCCCTAGTTTGAATTAGGGGTAGGGTAGTGATGATTCTGACCCTGATTCAAAAAACAAAATGATCGTAAACCCCTTTTCGGTTCAGTCGGGATCCTGACACTAGAATCTCAATTAAGTCGAGTTTCCGATCCGAATCTCGATTAATGCGGACAATGAAGTCTCAAAAGTAAATTTTTATAATATATATTGTGTTAAATAGTACAACTCTGTGATGAAATGATTTGCAAAATATAGTACTCCCTTTTCAAAATGATTTGTAAAGTCGGGTTTTATAGGCCAATACAATTTTACATAATTTACTTATTTAGCGTATTGTTTATATTATATTATAATTTTGACTTTTTGACTTTATAGAACACTTAATGTAGATTTTGAATATGTAATTTTTATTTATAAAACTTATTCCGTAATCTTGGATTTAATTTTATTGTCGATCAACACAATTCAATTTGGGGTGGAAGAAGTAATTAACATCACTTGTATAACATGTAATTTAATAATCCATTTGAAAAAACAGGCTTATTAGTTGTGAGTTCTGACACTCTTCTCCTAACAATATACGTAGTACTACGTAATACTTGGAGCTTCTTTGTTGATCTCTGCTTTCCGCTCATTAATTTTATGAGTTAACTTTTTTTTAATTATGTAACTTTTCATTTCACGTGTTGAAATACATAATAATTAAAATAACTAAACTTTAAGTTATTTTTTTGATTGAATTGATTAAAGTTACTGTAGAAGACTATTTTAATTATTTTATATAATTGTTTTCTTTATTTTATTAATAAAATATATAGTCCCTCTTTATTTAAAAGTTCTCTACAATAAGTTTGGGCACAACATTTAAAGGTGAAATAGTATAGATAATGAATAGTACAGAAAAATTAGGAGAGAATGTGATAAAATATGAAAAAGAAGATAAAAAGTAGAAAATGTAAGGGTAATTGAGTACTTTTAAAGGAAAAACTTACTAAAAAGGAAAAGTGTAGTAAACTTTTAAATACACTCTAAAAAGAAAAGTGTAGCAAACTTTAATGCGGAGGGAGTACTAATTTTTTTTCATAATTAAAATTTAATCAATTTCAATATCATTAGTCGATTTCGTTGATTCCAGTGTAATTACCAATTCAAACAAACTCTTAATTAAGTGACAATTTATATAAACACCACATATAGTGTGGAAACTAATGAGACTCGATTGAAGTCTATTATGAGTCTCTTTGATATTCTATGTTCTATGACTTTTAGAGCATCTTTAATGGAAAACATGAAATATGCACACATGGCATAAGAGAATCAGGGGCGGATCCAGGATTTAATGTTGGGCTGGGCTGAAAATTTTAATTGATAATACATTGATTTTTTTCAAAATAAGCGAAAAATCAAATATAAAAGTTATCCCCTAAATTTGTTCTAGACAAGGCTTTGAAACAAAAAAACTCATCAACAATAGAGTCTACATCTATACTGAGAGTAATATCTTTTTCAATGTAAAGTGTCATGCAATAAGCAAGAAAACTATCATCCATTTTATTGCAGAGTGTTGCCTTTAGAAGTTTCACCGACAGAAACTGATCATTCTATCTACTGTTGCAGTAGAAACAATAAGACCAATACGAAGTGAATCAATCTAGTCATCTTAACATATGAATCACACCTTTTGCTTTTAGTTAACTCCTCTCATAATTCAACAAGTGTAGATACTTGAAACTTGATATCATGAATCACATCATGAACATAGTGTTGCAGCTCGAATTTCAAAGCACGAATGTCCTGACTACTAAAATCTTCGGAATAAAACTTCCTTACAAGAGTACAAATAGCATCGACATTGAACGACTCATGAATTTTTTGGATCAAATGAAACACTAAAAGAAAGGAGTTCCACTGATTTATCATTAAACCGGGTCGTTAACTCCATGAATAAAAGTATATTACCTCATTGAAAACATCAAAGTAATAATGATTCTCAATTGTAGTTTCTTTTCAGCAATGACCAACCATATATTTAGAAATTAGAATTTAAGTTTGGTGCATGAATTTATTTTTTGAGAAAAACTCATTTACTTCTTCAAGAAAACATTCCCATCTATGAGTTTTTCTAGGTGTAAACAAAATGTGTACACATGTCCGTCCTTCACAGAAATTTTGTCTGTCACAAACAACTCATTTTAAGTTGTCTGTGACAGACAAAATTTCTGTGAAGGACGGACATGTGTACACATTTTGTGTACCCCAAGCATTTTTCTCTCATCTATTTTCTGTCAATTCCTTAAGAATTAGTTGTGTAGTAGAAAGATGTCTCATGGCTACCGAGATATTCAATAATTTTTTTTTGAAGACTTTGAGAGAGAATAGTCGTTAATCCCATAACTTTGTGCA